AGCAGAGACAAACAGACAGACAGAAAGTTTGAAGAGATCCACATTCTCTGGAAAATCGCTAATGAAAATGGGTGTGGGCCAACAATTAGCTGTTCTGTTATAGGAGATGCCCATAATGCAATCTCTACTGAAGTCTTGTGAATTTCTTAAAATCAAAGACAACTCACCAAATAATCATATGTTGAAGACCTCAGGGTCAGTTTTATTATTGTTTCATTTATTTGATTTGATTTAGATGGCCTACTTAGCAAAGCAATTCCTGGTGGCAGGCACAATGAGAACATCAGTATAACACCAAGTAATAGAAATAATTAAAAACACATAATAACAGCAGAAATGCAAAGAATGACAACCAAGGATAAACCCAACAAAAAAGTTTGATTTATAATGACTTAAATTTCATAATTTTTCAAACTTTGTATAGGTAGGAAGAGAGAAAGATAATGAATTAATGCTTCTCAGTTTTCCAGTAATTTGGAAATATATTTTGGACTATAATTATCAGACTCTCCAAGTCCTGGCTATTTCACATGAGAGCTGCAGTCCAAAAATGAAGTCACCAAGCTGCCTATTCTTGCTCTTATGTAGTGTTTCTTTATTTTCCCTAGATTTATATGTAGAGTTTAGGCTTTTGTGTCGGCGCAAGAGTGTGAGGATATGCCAAATTAATGTTTTCATTTAAATATCATTTAAATTTTCTTAGGCCAAACTCCAAACCCATTTACCTGATCATTGTGACCGGTCCTCTTGTTTTTCAAGGATGCCCTCCCTATGCTCTCTAGAGTTCTAGCAAACAGTGATAAGGGGAATAAACAGACAGGAGTTTGGGGGAAGATTATATATGAATAAGACCCAGGGAGAAATTATTCTGTTAGGTGACATCAATTGACGTGTGTGACTGAGATAAGTCAGAATACTACTATTAATAATAATATAAAATAAAAGATTAGGCCATCTGCAAATCCAGAAATGAATGAGAATGGTGACTGGGTAAACATTTTACTCTGTAGTGATGCATAAATCTGCACATGTGAACATGGAAAATAAATAGATCCAAAAACATGATTGATTTGATCATTTATGATATAATATTGAGATAATTCATGAAGGATATAAAGATAATGAGTGGTTCTAAATATGGGGCAGACTCTTTGCTAATGTCAAGAGTGGGTTTGGAGGAAATCGATATGGAAGAAAAGAAATGTAAGAAATAGAACAAAATTACAGTAACCACAGACAGAGAAAATAGAAGTTTTGGATTAATAAATAATAGAAGGTAGTTTAATCTCTTGATAGAATGAATGGAAAATGGGTAAAACAGTTTGGTTTGTAATGACTTAAATTTCATAATGTTTCAAACTTTATATAGGTAGGAAGAGAGAAAGATAATGAATTAATGTTTCTCAGTTTTCCAGTAATTTGGAAATATATTTTGGACTGTAATTATCAGACTCTCCAGGTCCTGGCTATTTCACATGAGAGTGAACTGTAAGAAACTATCTAGATTTGTTCTAGTTAGTGTTGCACATGATTTAATTATGGCTGCACAGAGCTTTAAAGTTTTTAAAAAATGCCATAGAGCATATGGATGATACTACTTAAAGCAGCTTGCTTTTTCCTGAGAGTGTGCTTTTGGCTTCCAAATTTGGTTTAAGGTTTTCTGAAAAGAGCTGTATGCATGCCCTGGCTGTGCTGATGTATCAGATCCAAAGCACTGCACAGCCATAGTTTTAATTAGAAAGCCTATAATGAATAAAAGACTTGCAACTCCTGAGAGGAATGTAAAATAGATAATTTGCTTTCTTTATTTTCTTTTTCTCTTTGCTAGAATTTGACATTCTTGGATGTCTCTCATAATTTCCTAAGTTCTACAAAATTAGGGTCTCAGCAGCAATTAGAGAATCTACAAGAGCTTGTGATGTCTCAAAACCAAATTACAGAATTAAAGAAAGAAGATCTATACTTTCTTCGTAACTCTTCATTAAAAAGGTTGGACCTTTCATCAAACCCCATAAAAAAGGTAAACAAAAACATCATGCCTAGGGTCTTGGTGGCTTGAAAGAATGTGGATGAAAGTTACTTAGGAATAAACAGCATCATCTGTTTCTCTCTGTCTCTGTCTCTCTCTCTGTGTGTAGAAGTCAGAGGTCAGAATTATTGGCCATGATGGTATTCTTGAATGTACACTAGATATGGAGAAGAAACAGGAAAAGTCAAACTGATAGCTACAATTTACGATTTGTTGTTTTGCCTCTCAAAATTTCTCTGGAAAGGTTTACACTAGGAAAATGCAGTGACTCAGACAATGACCTGTGTGAAATTAAGCACAGAAAACCTATCTGAAAGGAACAACTACCATATAAAGAAGCTATCTCTACCTGGCTTTTAGAGACTCTGGAATGGAATCCCTTTTAACCCCTCCAGTGGAGCTAGCAGATTGCTGCCGCTCTTCTTGATAGCAACTTCTGGACCCTGAAATTGTTCTTTTTAAATTAAAAATGGCTTGGGTCTTATAAGGTAGGCCATTAAATGAAATCTCACATTGTTTGCATGAGAAGCCACATGCATGCTACTTAAAAATTAATTTTGTTTTTTATTTTTTAAAAATCCAGACTCTGCCAGCCCCTTTGCACTTGGCTCCATCCATTGCCTTAATTGCGTTACAACCTGAGTTAGGTATTGTCTAATTTGGACCTCAGGTTTCTGTGAAAATTGGAGAGGGAACAATTTTTAATAATTTATTTGTTTATCAAATTTAGAAACTGCCCATCACCCTCACAGAGGGACTGGGTGGTGTACAAATAAAATATAAAAACATAAAAACTGTATATAAAATTTAAATATGAGGCAAGCATAGTTAAAATTCAACATTAAAAGTCAATTAAAAGACTTGGTGAGGACTTTCTGGGCACTAACGAGTTCCACGGCTTTGTGGTCCTCTATGAACCCCCTGTGAGATGGCAGAGCCAGGTTCTTAGATATTTTGAAAGGCCAAGAGAGTAGGGGCCCACCTTACATCTGAAGGGGGGAGAATGTTCCAAAGGGTGGGGACAATGGCAGAGAAAGCTCTCTTCCTGGACCCCCTCCCCAGGTGGAATTATTTAAGTGACAGGGTCTGCAACATACCTTCCCTATCTAATCAGGTGGGGTGGGCTGAAGTAATAGGTGGAGTCATTTCTGTAGGTAAACTGGTCCCATGCCAAGAAGAGCTTTAAAGGTATAACCAACACTTTAAATTGGACTGGAGCAAGCTGGCATCCAATGCAGTTTGCACAACAGAGGTGTTACATGCACCGTTCTTTGGGATCCCAAGATTGGTCACAAGGCAATATATACCAGCAAAACTTCTGTCTACTTTTCAAGGGTGGCTCCATCTAGAGTTCATTGCAATAGTCCAAGCAGGAGATGACCAGGCATGAGTGACAGGGCACATTGACTCCCTTTCCAGGAAGGGGCATAACTGGTGCACAATGCAAAGTTGAGCAAAGATCCTCCTAGTTACAACTGCCACTACTCTTTGAGTAGGAGCCATGAGCCTAGGAGGATCCTCAAATTATGCACTGGGAGAGTTGGCTCAAAATTTGGGGGTGGTGATGGTGGGAAGACTCAACATTTTTGTTGCTCAGTGTTTCTGTCATGTGGAATAATTTTAAAACATTTTAATTATTATTTCTAGTTTCAACCAGGCTGCTTCCATGCTATTGAAAACATATATGGCCTTGATCTGAGCAACATTCCATTGGGACATGATGGCACAGAGAAACTTTGTTTGGAATTATCTGGCACAAAAATACAGAACCTTTCAATGAGCAAAGTACAACTTTCACGGATTTCCAATTCGACCTTTAGTGGAATGAGTAAAACAAACCTTACCATTTTAAACCTATCAAATAATTATTTGTCTGTTATTGAAAATACCTCATTTATATATTTTTCAAATTTAAAAAAACTAAATCTAATGAATAACAATATTACAAAACTTTTTTCTCATTCTCTTTATGGGCTTCACAATTTGAACTATTTGAACTTAGAAAATTCACATGTCAGAATAATTGATTCGGCTTTCCAGTGGCTAACTCACTTGAATTACCTTATTATGGATGGTAATAGATTTCTAGAGATTACTCCTCATACATTTAAAGGTTTAGAAAATTTGAAAAACTTGAGTTTATGTCAGTGCAACATAAATTCAATAACAAATATGACATTTGCTTCACTTGCAAATTCTTCCCTGCAGTTTCTCAATCTAACAAAAACTGGAATCATTTCTATCAAGTCCAAAGCTTTTTCTTGGCTAAGGCAATTAAAAATGCTTGATTTAGGTTTAAATAATATTAAGCAGAACCTTACAGGTCAGGAATTTCAAGGTCTTAGTAATATTGAGACTCTGTATCTTTCATATAACTATCAGTTGAATTTGACGAGTGAAGCATTCACTCTTATTCCAAGCCTTCGAAAGCTGAGAATGAGAAAGGTACGTTGCAGTAATCTTGCAATCACCCCCTCACCATTTCGTAAATTAAAGAATTTGACAATCCTGGATATGGGTAACAACAATATTGCTAACATAAAGGATGATATATTTGATGGACTGCATCAGCTTGAAATTCTTGACCTGCAGCACAATAATCTGGCTCAACTTTGGAAACACACCAACCCAGATGGTCCTGTTCTCTTTCTCAAAGATCTTCACAACCTTCGTCTACTAGATTTAGAATCAAATGGCTTTGATGAGATTCCACACAAGGCTTTCCATGGCTTATATTTATTGAGAAGCTTGAATTTAAATTCCAATCTCTTAAATCTGCTTCCCAGTTCTGTTTTTGATGATCTTACATCTCTGAGTTTTCTCTTCCTCCAGAAGAATATGATCACAGCTATTGATGAAAAAGTATTTGGTGCTGTTTTCAAACATCTAAAAGTATTAAATATGGCTTCAAATCCATTTGACTGTACTTGTGACAGTATAACTTGGTTTGTTAGTTGGCTCAATAGCAACAAAACATATATCTCAAATTTAAACAGTTATCAATGCAACACTCCACCCAAATATCATTCTAATTCAGTAGCACAATTTGATACTTCTATATGTGACAATGTCCCCTTTAAGCTAATATACATTTTGTGCACTACTTCTGTATTATTCGTCATCTCTATAGCTCTGCTTGTTCACTTTGAAGGATGGAGAATTAAATTTATGTACACTGTGGCTATAAACAGAGTATTAGGCCTCAAAGAAATAGATAGACCACAACAGCACTTTGAATATGATGCCTACATCATTCATGCCAAGAAGGACATGAACTGGGTATATAAGAACTTTATTACCCTTGAAGAAAATAATCAACCAGCCATTCGATTTTGTTTAGAGGAACGAGATTTTGAAGCTGGAATATCTGAATTTGAAGCCATCATCAATAGCATACAGAGAAGTAGAAAAATCATATTTATTGTAACTAAACATCTCTTAAAAGATCCCTGGTGTAAAAGGTAAGTTGAAAATATTTAAATAATTGCCATTCTATTTGGGTTTTTAGGACATGTATTTAATTTTATAGTTGTGTCTGTGAATTGTCAGGATTTCCAGCTAAGGAATCCTATTTTCTTATGTTTAAAAGAAGGTGGTGGGAATCCTTCAAGTTAATCATGTACTCTACATATTACTGTGGAAATATTGAGATTTTAGATTGTACCAGTTAAACAGCACAGATTTACTTTTTGTGTCACAGATCTTGTTCACAAAATACTAGATTCTGCTTTCAAAAAATAGAGCTGATTTTTGTTAAATTTCAAGACTGCTCTATTGTATTTAAGAGAATTTAAATTTAGCAAGGCAAAAGTATATTAAGTGCATTATAAGATATATTATTTATTACTTCTAGTGCTTAATTACAGTATGAGTGACACAGCCATTTGAGCAGGAATGTTATCATAAATTAACAGTCCTGGATAAATTCTTGCAAACAGGAATATTTACGGGAGTATAAACTTTGCCTAGCAAAGAACTTTCTTTCCAATCCTTTGCACCCAGGTCCTGAAATTTAATTTGGGAAAGGAGCTGTTTTTAGGCTTTATCAAAGCTTTGGCAGGGGCTAGAATTACAAATCTAAGATCATCAGTGTGAAACTTACAACTTGTGTCACTTAAAGAAAAGTGCTCTCAGTACCTCGTTTTCTAGTGGAAATAACATACATAATATTTCAAGTTGGCAGGGAAATCTGTCTGGTTCACTTCTGTATGTGAGATTCACAAATTTGTAATTTTTAAATCTTTATAAGTAAATTAGAACATGGTTCTGTATTAAAAGCTACATTTTCACAACTTTTGTGATAAAGTTCACAACTCAACAGTGTGCACATGAAGCATATATTAATGAAATATAACCCAATGCACTTCATACAAGGGAAGAACTATTTAAAACGAATTCTAGGAAAAATGCATATAAAAATGATCATAGATTCCTACAACTTGTACCTTTTCAATCAGAATTATGCAAAACTCCTATTCCCATTCTCCATGTTGTGTTGCTATTTTTCTCTTTATATAAAAGGCACAAGAACTGAATTCTTCCAGTCATCAGGCATACAGTGTATTCAGAAAGTACTCAGACCCTTCAATTTTGTCAATTTCGTTATGTTGCACCCTGATTGTACAGTTGTTGAAATTCATTTTTCCCTCATTAATCTACAATCAGTATCCCACAATGACAAAGTGAAAACAGAATTTTAGAAATGTCTGTACATTTATTAAAAAGAAAAAAACTGAAATATCCCATTGGTATAAGTATTCAGACCCTTCACTCAGTACTTTGTTGAAGCACCTTTGGCAGAAATTATAGCCTTGAGTCTTTTGGGTATGACACAACAAGCTTTGCACACCTAGGGGATTGGGGCATTTTCTGTCATTCTTCCCTGCAAATCCTCTCAAGCTCGGTCGGGTTGGATGGTAACCGTTGGTGGACAGCCATTTTCAGGTTCCTCCAGAGATGTTCAATAAGGTTCAAGTCAGGGCTCTGGCTTGGCTAGTTTAGGACATTCACAGAGTTGTCCCTAACTGTTGTCTTGGCTGGGTGCTTAGGACTGTTGTCATGTTGGGAAGTAAACCTTTGATTCAGTCTGAGGTCCTGAATGCTGTGGAACAGGTTTTCATTGAGGATATCCCTGTACATTGCTCCATTCAGCTTTCCCTCAACCTGACCAGTCTCCCAGTCTCTGCTGCTGAAAACCACACACAACATGATGCTGCCACCACGCTTCACTGTTGGGATGATATTGGGCAAGTGATGAGCGATGCCTGGTTTCCTCCAGACATAATGTTTATAATCTTGGTTTCATCGGACCAAAGAATCTTGTTCTTCACAGACTAAGAGTCCTTCAGGTGCTTTTTTTTTGCAAACTCCAAGTGGGCTTTCCTGTGTTTTATACTGAGGAGAGGCATCTGTCTAGCCACTCTGCCATAAAGCCCAGATCGGTGAAGGGCTGCAGTGATGGTTGTCTTTCTAGAACTTTGTGCTATCTCCACACAGGATCTCTGGAGCTCAGTCAGAGTGACTAACGGGTTCTTGGTCACCTTTCTTACTAAGGTGCTTCTCCCCAGATTGCTCAATTTGACTGGGTGACCAGCTCTTGGAAGAGTCCTAGTTGTACCAAACTTCTTCCATTTGAGAATTATGGAGGCCACTGTGCTCTTAGGAACCTTCAGTGCAGCAGAAAGTTTACTGTAGTCTTCCCCAGATCTGTGGCTTGCAATAATCCTGTCTCTGAGCTCTTGCTCTCCTACAGTATGCATTGGCAGCTGTGAGGCCTTCTATAGAGAGTTGTGTGCCCTTCCAAATCGTGTCCAATCAATTTAATTTACTACAGGTCAACTCCAGTCAAGGTGTAGAAATATGTCAGCAACTATCAAGAGAAATGGGAGGACCTGAGATAAATTTCAAGTGCTGTTGCCAATGGTCTGAATACTTTTGCCAATGTGCTATTTCAGTTTTTTCTTTTTAATAAATTTATAGAAATTTCTAAAATTCTGTTTTAAACTTTGTCATTATGGCGTACTGGGTGTAGATTGAGAAAAAAATGAATTTCAGCAACTGCAGAATCAGGCTGCAGCGTAACAAAAGGGGTGAAGGGGGTCTGAATACTTTCTGAATGCACTGTAGATGCAGCCTTCACACAATAGTAGATGTCACATAAGTCCAAAATTGAACCATATCCATATTTAATGTTCCTTCACTCAGTGTCTACACCTGCACACTTATCATTTTTCAGTATTCTTAACAGCATTTACATTATTCTTTTCATCACTTTCTCCCTGGATATTGAGAAGGATAGTTTAGTTTGAATATTTTTTTGCACTAAACAGACAATTGGATTTAGTGGCTTAAGAAGTTCCTTTGAATTCTGGGATTCTATGACACTAAATGACTTAAGTCTTTCAGATGTATTACTGATTCTAAATGATTCAAGAGAGTTAACGAATCGTAAAGATACATGTCTCTGAAACTTATAAGTAAGTCTACTAAGCCAAAACATGTCTTTTTTTTCCTTCAGGTTCAAAGTGTACCATGCTATACAGCACGCTATTGAACAAAGTCGAGACTCTGTTATACTCATTTTTCGACATGATATTCCTGATTACAAGTTAAAGAATGCACTTTGTTTACGAAGAGCAATGTTCAAATCTCATTGTGTCTTGGAGTGGCCTGTGCAGAAAGAACGTCTGAATGTCTTTTACCAGCAATTGAAATCAGCACTTCAATCTAGTAGTAGGATAATATGATTTGTTTTAAGAAAAATATTGTATGCATTTCTGGGTAATTCACTCAGTGGTTAAAATACCACACTAAAAATATGATATTGGGGGGAAAAAGTCAATGCAAAACCATTCTTCCAGGATTTTTTTCTTCTGTCCAAAATAGGAGAGTGTTGTATCCAAGCATACAAAACAAATGAGCCACATTTGGGAACATCAAATGTTTGCTACAAGAGAAGACAGTGAAAGTATTTTGGAGGTGAGACCAAAAAATAGGGGTATGTGCTAAACCAGGGGTAGTCAACCTTGGACTTCAATTCCCAGAATTCCTGAGCTGGCTCAGGAATTCTGGGAGTTGAAGTCCATGAGTCATAAAAGAGCCAAGGTTGACTACCCCTGTGCTAAACAAAAGTGTATTTGATTTTAAATCCAAAACTAATCTCTCTCTTTCTCTTCCATGTGGCTCATATTAAAACTTGACTACCAATCTTTTCAGCAATTTCCTTTCGCTGCTTACCCACAGCTGCCTAACTCCTCTCTCTTCACCTGTATGCCAATCTTTGCTTTAGCCATACCTGGGCACCATCCTTCCCGCTGGTCTTCACATGACCTTCCTTTTCCTATTCTCTAGCCACAGTGGCAGGCTGCCATCTTGCCATCTTTTCTGACTGCTCAAAACTAACTGGCCTATACACAGCACAGTTTATGCATAGAACAATTTGCATATTCCCAATACTTCATCTCTCTCCACTTTCTTACCCAGAAATAGGAGTTGCAAAGTAAGTTAACTTCTTGTCTTTGCTGCACAATCTTACTGGAAAAAAGAAATGTAACAAGAGTAGAATCCTAATATCTGTTGCACTAGAAAAGAGGGTTTGGTGAAAATACAATTGATACAGCAGTGTTTAGGACTAACCAGTTTAAGTAAAATATGATAATACTTGCTAGTAGGAAAGAGCAAAATATTCCTTGCCTTTTGAATAGTCAGAGCAACAAAAACACACATTTTAGATATTTTGGTCATTTAGATGGATCTGTTTTGTTCCAGATATGGTTTGTTTCTCGTGAGGCAAGTAAATGGGGGAAAAAGATAACAGGTTTTCTAACTTATGCCAAATCTGAATTATCTTTTTTAAAAATTAATAAAAGATGTGTATTAAATGAATAATGGGTAAGTAAGTTAATGTTGTTATATTTGAGTGATTGTTTATAAAATTAGATACTGATAGTAGTGGCAACACCAACAAATACTAAGTTATTTCTCAACAAGCTGTAAAACTTGAAAGGATGATCATCGGAGCATTTAAGTGATAAACTTAAATGCTTGGTAAGATTAGAAATTAATCATTAAGTGCTTATAGTTTTAGAGAGAAAAAATCAATATATAATACATAGTGCAACATAGGTAACATGTATTAAAAACAGTGCCTGGCATATCATAGCAATTGATTTCAAACTATGAACAGATAGTAAATTGAATATACATTAGCCATAATCTGTGATGTAAAAAAAATGTTTACCAATGTCCTGTCTTGGGACATATGCAATGGGATCTAAAAGCGGGTGTGGCCTGACCATGCCTCTTATGGACAGATTGCTCTCTTAACAAGAGATCTGATTCCAGCTAATTTATCATTGTATTTGAATTTATCTTCGCAGACATAATTGGTGACCCAAATTGGTTCTTCTATGAACAGCACGATTCCTTCTATCCATGAGATGCACCAGGGTCTATAACTGTTACATGCAAAAGAACATGTAAAATGTTTAGATCTTACATCTAGTAGCAATAAAGTTGTCCTCACATTTTGTTTCTCTTCCTCTCCTAGGAACTAAGGATAAATACATTATTATCTTCCAAATAATAATAATAATAATAATAATAATAATAATAATAATAATAATAATAATAATAATAATAATAATAATAATAAGTTGGAAGGGATCTTGAAGGTCTAGTCCAACCCCCTGCTCAGGCAGGAAACCCTATACCCTTTCAGACAAATGGCTGTCCAGTCTCTTCTTAAAAACTTCCAGTGTTGGAGCATTCACCACTTCTGGAGACAGGTTGTTCCACTGGTTGATTGTTCTGTCAGGAAGTTTCTCCTTAGTTCTAGGTTGCTTCTCGCCTTGATTAGTTTCCATCCGTTGCTTCTTGTCCTGCCTTCAGGCGCCTTGGAAAATAACTCCCTCTTCTTTGTGGCAGCCCCTGAGATATTGGAACACTGCTATCATGTCCCCCCTCTTCCTTCTCTTCATTAAACTAGACATACCCAATTCCAGCAGCCTTTCCTTATATGCTTTATTATTATTATTATTATTATTATTATTATTATTATTATTATTATTATTATTATTATTATTATTATTATTGTGTTGTTGTTGTTGTTATTGTTATTATTATTAATTTTCAATGGCATTGAATGGTCACTAAATGAATAATTGCAAATTGAGGACTACCTGTACTTTCAATTAGGGCTGTCAAGGCTTAATCCAAAATCCATATTCTAAGCACCCCTTTGCTGTTAAATCAAAAAACTATATATTAATTAAGTATTGAATGTATTTTAATCAACAGCACATATACTTCCAAGATTTATGGCTTGATTTAGAAAAGTCTTTAAATTGTGTTATGCTTCTATTCATGTTAACATTTTTATAGAAAAGGGCATATATAAAATAACAAATGATATGCATATTTATTTAGATAAATGTGATCTTTCTGGTAATAAAATTTAGAAAGAACAAAGAAATGTTTTTCCACAAACTGATTTCTCATATATGAAAGTGGGACATACTGGAGGGTGCAATACAACTTCCAAAAACCTGCAGGAAGCAATCCAGTGATGTGTTGATGTTGCCAGGAGGACAGGAGTGACATTTTTCCAAATTTTCTGCTGGAGGGAGAAAGTTTTAAAGTGACCATGGAATTTCTTTATGTGCTGCAGCTGCCAAAAAAACCAACACAGTGCTAGGCTGCATTAACAGAGGGATAGAATCAAAATCACGTGAAGTATTAATACCACTTTACAATGCCTT